GGTGTCATTTTAACGTCACAAGGAACACGACTGTTCGTGAGGCTAGGGAAGAACGCTTTGGTTCTTACGGACCCCGCGCTCTGTCCTCTGTGCTCTCAATCCATTAACTTCAGCACCTTGTCTGCAGCGTCCCGTGCACAGTGTGGATAAGGACCCCGACCCCAGAGACGCACCCAGGGTTGCCGTGGGGGTGGGATCCCTCCTCGCCGTGATGTGTGATGTGCAGGTAGATTTCCTGCCCGCCCCCCACCTTTGTCACTTCCGTTCTCGTTCTCGTTCGTCCCTGCCTCATGCTTGGGAGAGAATGTGGTTAAAAGCAGCCCCATTGCAGGACTTCACAGAGGAGACTGGAGGAGGCACTTCATCATCGGGCCGTGACAGGCGGGATGGAGCTAATTTCCTTCCCTGTGTTCTAATAAAGCTCCGAGGCTCACAGTATCTCTTATTTGTCAAAGAGGAGAACAATGGTGCTGCATGTCACCCCTTCACTTGGGATCCGGTCCACTTTGTCAGAGTCGGTAGGAGCCTCGTTTTCCCCACCCACGCACTCAGCCCGCTAAAATATTCATGCAGCGTACTGCCCCGGCGAGCGGCAGACTCCCATGGAACTGCATGGAGCAGGAGAGGGGCTCCGCCAAGTACATGCACGCCCATGGTTTCAACATAAAGAAGAAACCACTGGGATGCAGACAATCAAGACTCAAGTTTATCCTTCACTCTGCTTAAAGGCAAAGCCAAAAATAGCAAAGCCCACAGTCCAAACATGTGGGGGTCCTCTTAAGAAAGTTACCTCGTTCTTTCCACCAGCACATGCAACGGGCCCAGAATCTAGCATCCCCACGTGAGTCCTCATCCCACTCAAGGCCTGGGTCTCGGAAAAGGCTGCCCATCAACTGTTTCCATGAACAAGGCAGAAGGTCCATGTCCTGGGAAGCCAGAAGGAGAGCCACGCCAACTTGCTTCGGGTAGATACTGCATGCCCGGGAAGGTGCTGGGCACACGGTGCTAATTCTTCCTGGACAGAGCTCTAGAGATGTCATGAGGCCATTGGCTTGAGGATTTGATGGGCACTCTCCCTGGCAGCCTCCCAGGTGCCCCCTCCCTTCCTGCTCCCTCTGCATTACCCATTGGCTTCCAGAGTGAGTCTGGGGCGAGCCTCGACCAGGGTGGAGCATCGTCCCTGGACAGTCTGGTCTCTGTGGAAGATCTCACCACTCCGTCTCTGTGCTCCGTGCCTCCGAGCCCAAATTCTTGCCCACCAGGCTTTGCAGTGCGGTGCTCCAAGCAGGCCCTCTTAATTAAACAGACGGTGAGCAACCCTATGTGTGTCCCTGACTCAGAGTGTATTCTCTGCAATGATGTTTGTGAGATCAGAGGACCACGCATTCATTCAACAGAGAGCACCTGAGCACTTGCCATGGGGAAGGCACTGAGCTTGGCACCCTGGGAGCCTGACAACAAACCAGCCATTGTCCCAGTGGTGGAAGAACTAGTGGTCCAGGGGGAGGAGACCCACTGTGGTCAGGATATAATGGAGGATGTGAGAAGAGGAAGGTAAGACTCGTAAAATCTGCTGAGAGCAAAAAAGGATGCACTGGTAGTGAGGATGTTTAATTTGGGTTTTGAGGGATGAATAGGAGTTCGTCAGGTAGAGGGAATAGTAGCATCTTCAAAGGCTCAAGCGCAGAGTGGGAGAGGACGTTTGGTGTTTTGCGGGTGCTGCAAGGTGGCTAGAGGGCAGGTGTGTTCAGAAGGAGCGAGTATGAGGAAAGAGGTTTGAGAGACAGGTGAGTAGCGAAAACTAAGGGGTTTGCAGGTGATGGGAAATCACTAAGTTTCTAAATAGGAAGTGACATAGTCATATTTCTGTTCAGAATAGTTAAATTTGGTAGAGGCCTTGAGGGTTTTTGAGAGCAAGGTGTTGATAGTGGAACTTCAGCGACCACAGAGAGAGGGTGTGATGAGGAATCAGACCCCACCTCGGACACCAGCGTCTGGATGTCCCTACTGGGACACCCTGGGCCTCCCATTTCAGACACACGGTTTCTGGAAATCTACCGCCAACCCACCTTGGCCAACACACTCCTCCAGGCTCCTTGGACGGGCTGAGAGGCCCAGCTGCGCTTGGAGCCCCCACGAGGCAGAGCACACACAGCCTCTCCCAGGCCTGCCTGGCAGGTGCCTGGGCCACCGGAGATGGTCAGAAAGGGGCAGGTGACTCCTCGCCAGGGAAGGGTACGTGGGAGGTCGCCAGCTAAGGCCCGTCTGTCCCCACCCCTGGTTCCCCTCCTTTAGGGGTAGAGAAAAATGACACACAACCCACAGACGAACAGACACATGGACGCAGGGGCTCAAAACCTTTCCTTCCCTCTGCCACCCTCTCTTCCCGCCTCTGCTCCTGGGGAGTCAGGCCTCCTCCAAGCTGGACACCCAGGCAGCAAGCAAGTGTGAGCTTTCATTTCCCATCTTTATAACCTGAGAGGGAAGACAAGCCTCTTGAGACCCAGTTGGGAATACCCTCGAACTGTCAGGTTGGTCTGGCCATCGGGCCTCAGGGTCTGGGAAGTGGACGCTGGGCGGACCTGTTTGGACAGCTTGCAGAGGGTAGAGCACCACAGTCTCTTCTCGTGGGTGTGCTGGGCCAAAGACCTGGCCGTCTACACTGGGAGCCTGGCTCCTGATGTCTGTACCTGGACTGGGGGAAGGCAGGGGTCAGGAGTGCCGTGTCCCGGGCCCCCTGCTTCGGGAGCCCTGACTCCTGCGTGGGAAGTGAGCATGCCACGGGGAGCCTGAGGCCCCACGCGGCAGCTCTGGGAGCTCACAGCAAATCCACAGGCTGCTCGAGCACGACCTGTTCGCACTGGTCTGGTCATAAGGTGTAAGGGGGGCGAGGGAGAGAACAAAAGACCTTTCATTTATTTTGTTTTATTTTTTTCTCCAATTTGTAAAATCATGCCCTCGGAGAGCATAGTGCCTCGGGGCTCCAGGACACAATCTGAATACATTCAATTAAAAACCTCGGAGCGTCCTTTGGGGGGCTGGGGCTAGCGCGGGTCCGCAGAGGCCATCCAGGTCGTGCAGAAGCCCACACAGGAGGGAGCCACCAGGCCCTGTTCCCGAGAGCGGCAGGCAGGGCTGGGAGGCTCCGTGGGGCCAGGCGGCCACGCTGGGTCCGCATAATCGGAGCCTGGGGAACGGCCGGGCCGCAGTTGGGGCTTTCCGAGCACGGGCAGACCAGGTTTGCTGTGAGTGGGCCGGAAGGTCCCAGCTGCGTCCCTTGTCCAGATGGGCCTCTCTGCGGCTTCCTGTCTCGGCTGGACTGGCTAGGGCTTCAGTCCCGCCAGGCGGGTCTCTGGGTGGTGGGGCCCTGCTGGTCTGCTGAGGGTTCGGCGGCCTTGCTTGGATAATAAGACGTCCCTTCCACAAGTGGGGGCTCCCCTTCATCCTGGGCTGGGTCCTTGTCCTGGCTGACCTGTGCTGAGTCCTTATGAGGGACGTGACCTTATTTGAAAACGGGGTTAAGATGGGGTCCCTGGGTGGGCTCTGATCCCCTTCCACTGGTGTCCTTAGGAAAAGTGGAAATGTGAGCACACACACACATACACACACACACACAAACAGAGCGAGCACTGGCCCCATGCTCACCAGCCTCCGCGGCAGGTTTCCCAAGCAGAGCGGGGTTCTTGGAACTCAGTACTGGAGAGCTGCGTGGTGGGGGCCAGGCCGCTCACGGGTGCGTGAGAGCAGGCAGGTAGCTGGACGCGGGGCAGAGAAATGGGTTCTGGTTTCAGCTGCGCTCGGCCGGTGCTGATCGGTGGGTCCGGCTGTGCAGAGTCTGAGCCCCTGGAATAAACCTTCCTGCAGGAGGGTGGCTGTGACGTCATGGGCCATGCCCATGACAAATGGGCAGAGTCCGTTTGGGTAAAAATATGCAACATGAACTTCTGAGTCTGCACTTCTTGCTGGAGGAGCCTCTCTCTCCCCGTCCCGCTAAACTAAAGCGTAGAGTTGCCATTTCCCAGCCGGGCCCGAGTTCCTGACCCCTGAGGCCCCCATCCCTCCTCGTGGCTGCCTTGCTGCTCTGTCGACAGTGAGTTGCTCAGGCCACTGACCCCGCGTCCCACGCTGGTCTCCACCACAGAGCCCCTGCAGCCAGATCCCTGCGCAGACCCTGCCTTCTCCCTGCTGCTGCTGGAGCCCGTGCCCACCCGGAGACGGCGGGCTCCCTCCCTCAGCCGCGAGCGCTTCACAGACGCTGTCTGTCCCCAGCCTCTGAGTCGCCCGGGGCCTTGGGTGAATTGGCTTCTTTGGTGGCGGCCCAACCACCCCTTGCTGCCACGTCTTTCCTCTGCACCTTGAGAAATGTCTCCATTGTTCATTTGCCCACGTGCCAGGAAGCCTGAGCCTCTCCCATTTTTAACCTGCTGTTGAAGTTCTCTGTCCTCCCTCTTACGGGAGCAGAAGTGTTGGACTGTGAGGCCTTCTTCCTTTGCACCTGCTCTTGAACCCGTTCCCTTGGCTCCGCGAGATTCTGCCCTGCGGCTCTGCTGTCCTGATGCATGTGCCTGCAGGAGCTCGGGGCTGCCCCGCACATCTGGTGCTCGCCCTCGCTGGCTGAGCCGTGAGCCCTGAGGACGCATGTTCAGACCCCGACTCACACCCACAGTGGCCCCCAACTGCAGGGCTCCCCTCTGGTGCGTTTCAGCTCCCCACGCCCACCTCCCGGCCTGTGCATGTGGATCATGCTGCATCTGCGGCCCAGGCTTGAAGCCGCTGTCTCCACGAGCCCCTTGCACCTGTCGGGAGGCCGCGTGCTATTCATCATGACGTCCCAACATCTGAAGGGGGCTCTCCCCAGCCCGTGTGGGGGCGCTCCGTGTCCTGGGCGCTGTCCCGTTAAGTCTCTGCCTCTCTTCCTCTGTTGATTTCTTGCAACAGGGTAAGAGTATTTCAGTCCTATTTGCAATGAAAACACTGCCCATTTCCCTTTCCATCTTCAGGAGAAGCCAGATGCGGTGTCCCTTTCTGGTATTTTCCAGTTTCCCTCGTGGGGGTCCCTCTCTTCCTTCAGAACCTGACACCCCGAGCTGAAGCCTTCCCCTGCTCGCCTGGATGCCCCAACAGTTTCCTGACCTGCTGCCCCAGTTTCTTTCATCTCTGAGCCTCCTGGGCTGCACATCGTTGGCTTTGGATCCACGGTCAACTACCTCCCTGACGCAAGAGCCCCTCCTATGACCCCCAAACCCTCCTTCACTGAAGCATCCGCCAGCCTTTCAGGGTCACAGACCTCCTCCTCGAGCCTGTGCTGTAGAAGATACCTCCAGGAGTCTGGATGCGGTAAGAAGTCGCCCCTGCCCCATCCCCTCCTGGGATCCAGACGTTTTTCCCGTAAGGAGGAGAGGGGTTAGCGTGCTGGTCTGTGGCCCTCCACGCTGCTCCTCACCCTCTAGGGCTGCAGCCTGTTCATTACTTCTTCTAACGCAAGACCAGGGGGATGCAGCTCTGTCTGCAGGTCCGTACCGAAGGGACAGACGCGGTATGCCTGAGATGAGTCTCTGCCGGAACGGCAGAGGGACACACTCGCGTGCTCAGCTCGCCTCTGATTGCGAGTTTCTGGCACTCAGCTGTGGACACGGTGCCGGTGGGGAGCAGCACGGAGGCCGGGAGACCCGGGCTGACCGTGGTGGGGACCAGTGTCCAGCGCAGACCCAGCCACCGATGCATGCCCTCCCTGCACCTCGAGTCATGTGCCGCCCCCTTGTTACTTTGGTTTCTAAACGCCAGGCTATTTAACAAGGGTCATGACCAAGTTTTCCCAGGAAATATGCGGTGTGTTAGAGTTTGGGGGTTATACCCAACTGCACCTCTTTCTCTTGGTGGATTCTAAACCAACGAGGAGTCTGTGAGGAATGCTTTCTCAGAGCCCTCCGGGTGTGGGGAGAGCCTGCCACGTGAGCAGTACGCTGGCCAGGAGCAGAGGAGAAAGGGCTGCTCACCGGGAGCCTCGGGAGAGCAAGGAGGGCAGGCCCTGTGGAGCAGGGACCTCAGCCTTGTCCCTTGGAGGTCACTGCCTCATGGGGGCCGCGGACGCTGCGTCCAGACTCCCCTGCCCACCATCCTTGGGGAGAGGGCTGAGAGGCAGGCTGCAGTGGGCTCTGGTGGAAGCGTCTTCGTGGAAACAAGGGTCCACACAACATGGACTGTGACCTGGGGCTCCCTGAACCCACCTTCTCAGCTCTGCCTGAAGCTCTGAGCAGGCCCTTCTTTGTACCTGAGACCTCTTCATTCCAGGAAAGGACACGGCCACGGCTCCCTTGGGCCCCTTTCTCTCTGTGCCTCCCCTGCTCTCTCCCCTTTCCTTACCACGCCGGGTTGACGCTCCCTCCCACGAGAGCCTGCTTTCAATAAAAGATGGGCGCAAGAAGGCATCTGCAGCATTTCATCTTGAATTCCTGCGATGAATGCATTTGGTCCGGTCAGTGGGCTGGGCCCCAGTCTGAGGAGCTTTGCAGAGTCAGGACCGGTTCTGTGTGGGGGTTTGCATTGTCCCTTAGCGAGGTGGGGAGATGGGCCGGCGGCTGCTGGATGTCTGCAGGGACTCTTTGTGGACTACTCATCAGCAAGTGTGTCGAGAGAAAGCCAGCGGTGTGCCTGCCTGCCCCAGTGTGCGTGTTATGAGCTGCGCCCTTGATGTACTGAGCGCCAAAGTATTCTCAACAGAGCCCACGTTGGGCCTGACGTACCAGTGGGACAGTCATCCATTCATGGAAGGAAAATTAACAGAGAATAACAAGATCGCCACGAGCAACAACCACAGGTAATGATGGGGATCGTGTCGTGCGCTCCATACACCAGGCACGAGGATCTTCGACCCCCTTGCTGAGAGGCTCTGGGTGATGCTCCCGGGGTGGGCTGCACAGGGCTGCTCTGGGACCTGGCTCCCAGCAATCCTAACGAGACTCTTCACCTACCACCCCCAGAGCCTCGGATTCTAGGGACAGGGAGGGCCGTCAGGAGTCCTCCCCGACTCCCATCCCAGAGTTCCCCGTTTGCGTATTTGTGAATCATTTACAAACCAGCAGTGGGGGGCCTCGTCGCAAACACACCCTCCATGTCTGGCTCGGCCCGGGGCTGCAGATGCCTCCTCCCAAGGTGGTGCAAACAATTATCACAGTCTTAACAGATATTGCACTCAGAATTGCTTGTCAGACTTGGGAATATCACTTCTCTCTTTTGCAAGGAGGTCATTACAGTATGCACTGCAATTGGATTTTGCTCTGGTTTGTGGCATCACGGAGATGTAAGAAGGTTAGTAATGATTGCTAAAAACATTCGTCTTGAGTCTTTTGAAAGAAGGACTGCATTTGGGGGAATTAAAATGGATGAAATGCACATAATAGATTTGTGTTTGGAGTAGGCTGACAGAACCGTCCGGAGGATGCTGCCAAGCCTTGGGCCGCTAGGAGTTTCCGCTCATCACCCATGGGGAACACTCACCTCCTCTTGCTGGAGCGTCTCGGGTTCATCAGGGAGCCCGACCTGGGAGTCGGGAGGCCGAGTGGAAGACGTGGAAGGCAGACAGGGAATGTGAACTCTTAGAACCAAACAGGCTTGGGCACAAATCTCACCTCCTTTATTATTAAACGTGTGATTGTGGACCTCCGATTCACATGTGCAGACCGGGTAGTGACACATAACTCTGGGGTTAGTGCAAACACGTGATGATATGCGGGACAAAGGTTATGACAAGTCACTGTTGTGGGGATCCCCCCCTTCTCCGGGGAAGCCGCAGACCGCCACGGGGCCATGGCCCCCCCCCAGCGCCTGCATCCTCATTCACAACACGCTCCTGTTAATCCCACGCCCACGGCCCTGGAGGGATTAACGGGACCCCAGCAACGTAATGTGTCCAAAGGACTCTAAGGGCTAAAGTAAAGAGAAGAAAAATCCCCATTTCCCCCTAAAAGGATTATTTAGTCATCAAGAATTAAACTTTGCATTCAGAAAAATCTAAGCCTGGATCTTGGCTCTGTTGCTTTTTCTTTCTTTTTTTTTTTTTAAAGATTTTATTTATTTATTTGACAGAGAGGGACACAGTGAAAGAGAGAACACAAGCAGGGGGAGTGGGAGAGGGAGAAGCAGGCTTCCCGCGGAGCAGGGAGCCCGACGCGGGGCTCGATCCCAGGACCCCGGGATCATGCCCTGAGCCGAAGGCAGACGCTTAACGACTGAGCCACCCGGGCGCCCCAGCTCTGTTGCTTTTTCACTGAACATCTATGAAAGTGTTATTTGTGTGGGTCCCAAAGCAGTCAATTATTGGCCACGTCACATGGTTCGACTTACTAGCGCGTGGTGTTAACTATGCCACGTAACTTTTCTGTGGCCTGGGGCTTTTGTCTGCTCAGTAGATGTCAGCGTGGGAGCCCAGCTCCACGCCTGACTTACAACAGGTGCACTCTGTTTCAATCCGAACCTTCCTAATAACCCATGGCCCACACGCGGGGTTGGCCGTGGTGCTAGGAATTATTTATCCTGTGCAAGAGTGACGAGAACCGTATGTGGGCCTGCATTACCCTTTTGGCTGAAAATTGAAACAAAAAGACCATGGATATGGTTTCCCACCTGAAATGTCAGCAGATTTTCTCTCCCATCACTTTACGCGAAAACATACTTACAGCCACAACATGGCGTCCAAGGAGAGTTTGCTCTTCCTTTGCTCTGATAGGACGTGGAAAGATACCTTCTGGGAGTTCCTCCAGCTGGAGTCTTGCAAACAAGGAGAGATCCCTGTGTCCATTGACCCTCACCTGTGCAGACGGGCATGGCATTCACCTCCGGGCCCTCACTGGGTGTGTGCGTGTGCATGTGTATGTGTGCGTGTGCATGTGTGTATGCGTGTGCATGCATGTGTGCGTGCATGCGTGCGTGTCTAGACTGCTGGCTCCTACTGCACCTGCAGTCACAGAAGCCTCCTGAGCCCCTGACACCAGAGCTGCTGAAAAGAGGCGCTGCCCCATCACATCGCGGACAAGTTCTAATTGGGTCCAGACTTGAGCTTTGACCTTTATGTCCATTCCTGTTTAATGTCAGCTTGTCCAAAGTCCCACTGCTCGCTGAAGTTGCCTGAGGTTCTCACCGGTCGTCCTGTGATGTGTGTTCTCTCTCTCCTACACATCGGACCAGCATGCAACACCTACCACCTTCTATACCAGCCATTAGCTCGCTGTCCGTTTACTTCTCTGTTCATGCAAAAAGCATTTATTAAGCAAAACTTGAGACAGTATTATTAAGAATCTTTCTATGGTAAGTTTGGGCTCAATTTAGACATCTGTGCCTTTGGATATGATTGTTTAATTGGGTTGAATTCACCCAATTGCCCACTTTCCTCATCTCTACATGGAAAATATTTGTGGGTTGGATGGTTGATTTTATTTGTCCTAAAATTACTTATCTCAGAGTCAGATCATTCTAGGATTTAATGAAGAATCAAGTATTCCTTTATTTTCCTGCATGTTATGACAATACTCAACTCACTTCAATGTTCGACAAGTATCAAGTTCTGTTATTACCCAGAGCATTTAAAGGCCAGCAACGGCTGCCCGCATACTGCACCCCGACCCCAGTAGGCATGCCAGCATTTCTGGGGCTCCAGGCGTGCCCCAGATCTGAGATCCCACTGCGCTGTGTACGGCTCTCCCTGGGCTCTGCTTGTCACCTGCTCCCAAATGTCTCCCTTCTGCTCGAGTCTTGTTCCTCTTTTTGGGTGAAGAATATGACAGATTCTAGTTGCATCAGGAAGGCCACGTCTGGGCACCTTGGAGCGGGGGCTCACCCCCTTCTATGCACAGGGGTTAAGGGTGTGACTTCCGTTCCTACCTGAGGGCTCGCTTTTACCTCCCCTCGCCTCTCCCTACCAACGTGGCTCACTCAGCCACGCACTGCCAGGCGTCCGAGTGGGAAATGACCTGATGTCCTGCACAGAGGCGCACCCCTCTGATGGAGATGGGACTGCCTTTTCCTTCAAGAAGCCCCATTTCTGAGCTCCATTTTATGGTTAAGATGCAATGTTCTGGCCCTTGTTCTCGGCGTCACATTCTGTGGAAGCAGAGACGTGGGGGTCAGGGCCCCCGGGAGGGGAGGGCGCACAGCTCCCAGAACACGCCGTCTGGTTCTCACAGGGAGGACACCGAGTGACACTGGGGAGTCAGGAGGGCCGTCCCGGGAAAGAGGGGCAGACCAGGCCCCGAGACCCCACGCCGACGAAGAGGGGCAAATGCAGAACAAACTGGAAGAAGAGAAGGGTCAAAGGGGAAAGGTCAAATGGTGGACGTGGGGGCAGAAGCCAGGGCTCGACAAGCAGCCCATGTATGTTTCTTGTCTCCGCATCTCTCTCTATTCATGGGGTCTTCACCTGAGGGTCATGCTTATCATTCCAGATTCTGGGGTTCCTCCGACTTCTCAGCTCTCTTGATCCAGCCCCGGAGAACATGCCTGGAGCCGTGGCCCCTTGCGGGAACTAGCACGGTGGCCTCTCCTGAGCACCGTGACCCCTCCGCCTGCACGCTTTGAGACCCTGGGCGGGGTGGGGGCCCAGTCTCACCTCATCCTAGCACTTCCCACAGGATGTGACCGTCCCCCTGGACCACCCTTCTGGGGGTGGGGCACGTGCTTTTGACAGCTCCCCCTCGCCCGTGGGCCGCGCCAGGCTGGGGGCCGCGTCGGAGCCTAGTCGAGTCTTCCCCCAACTAACGGTTCCATCCTGGCTGAGCTGTGGGGGAAGCAAAGGGCGACGTGTCAGAGAGCCTGGGCCGGGCCCGCTGGGGCCCTGGCGAGACGCCGCGTCCTCGGACGTCACGGTCCTCCTCTGCCATTGGTGGTGCCCACTGCCACGTGCCTGGGGCGGGCCTGAGCCCGTGGGAAAGCTCCTTACAGAAGTAGAAGTGCTGCGTGAGCTTCGTCCCAAGTGTGGGCTGCTTTGGTTTCCCATCCGTGGTTCAGACTCAGGTCCTGTTCTCCTGAGCGCCACGGCTTTGGCCCGGGCTCTCCAGCGTCTGGCCCGCGGCCTGGAGAGCACACGGCGGCGGCGGCGTGTCCTGAGGTCCTGTCCTGAGCTCTGGCCGAGCCGCCCCCACACGTGGGCAGGGGCGTCCCGCCAGCCCCTGGAAGCAGGCCGGCCCCCGACAGCGGCACAGCGCCGGCCCTTGGGCACGCTGGCGGGTTCACTCCGGCTCGTCCGCGCCAGTCCTGGGGCCCTCGGGTCACTCAGCCCGCCAGACCTCGGCAGAAAGCAGGCAGGACTGAGGAGAATAATCACCGTCCTGGCGGCCACCGAGCACAGCGCGCAGAATGTCGTCGCCTGTTTCCAGCAACGACGTGCGCGGCAGGTCCGTCCCTGCTCGGGAAATCTGTGTCCCGTGTGGGGCGCAGACAGAACACACAGGCAGGATGGACACGGCGCCCGCCCAGCCCGCCCTCCGTCCATCCCCAGAGCGCAGTGAGCGTCCCTACACCCCCTCGGTCTCTTGTGCCTGACCAGAGGACCACAGAGGCTGTGTCTGCAGGGCACGTCCATCCACACGTCCCTCACCGAATCCCGGCCAGAGCCGCTTCAGCCTGAGGCCATGAGAGCCTCCATTCTGCAAGGGGGGAAACCGAGGCCTGGGGAGGTCAAGGTGACAGAGCAGGGGGTGACGGAGGCAGCACTGGACCCAGTTGTCCCCAGCCCATCTGCATACTGAGCGACTGAGGACAGCACTCCATCAGGACCGCCCAGGCCCTCTGGACCAGCTGCCTCGGCGGGGGCTCCTGCGCAGGTGCGGCCGGAGGTGCTGGGGCTGTGGACGGTGACAGACTGGGGAGGGGCGCCGTGATCAGGACGCTCAGCTCCAGTGGCCGGCTGACACCACGTGGGGCTGCGCATCTGGGCTTCTGCCGGTCGGAGCAGCTGAGGGCCGCTCGGACAGACCCAGGCACATGCTGCAGAGGGTTCTGATGGAGCCTTGGGGTTCCCAGGTCCCTTCGTCTGCATTCTGTCAGCTAAGTCATGAGGCCAGCCCGGATTCAAGGAAGGAGTCAGATTCTACCTCTTGATGGGATCAGGAGCATGTTAGCAGGGGAGAGCACAGGGCAGCCAGCCTTGGAGCCTACCTGCTACTCCTGATGAGGAGGGGGAGGAGGGAG